TTCCACTATGTCAGTGCTAGCCCAACAACAGTGAGATCAGAGACAGGTACCACCCCTTCCTCTACCTCCAGTTCAGATGAAAATAAGAGAGGAGCTATTCTCAGGGAAACAGATGTGACAGGACAGTCAAGGAAAGTCTTCAAGAATAGCAGCTGGACCAAGTGAACAATGGAGACCCCTGACTTTTCTATGTATTCACTCCTGTCTACTCACTATGCCCTGTGTAAGTGGTCAAGTAAGGAAACTGAGGCTTGGGAGGGAATCAGGAGAGCATGCTTTGAGGAGGAAGTCTCGAATTGAGGACCAGGAGCTTTAGAGTTCTGTATAACCAACCTTAAGCAAATCCTTTCTCTGTTCTGGACCTCAGTTTTCCCATCCAGAAATAGGAGATTAGATTGGGGGTCCACTTGTTCCCGGTTGTCCTGAGAAGCAGAGGAAGGGGTGGTCTTGTGCCCAGTTTTCAAATGGCTGCTGAGCCAAGAGGCAGGGCAGGGGGCACTGGATTGGCTTTGGGGGTCCTAGGCCTTGCTTGTTGGACATAGTCCATGACTTCAGAACAGAGGTGCACTGTGACCCAGACTCACTCCTTGCACCCCTCCAAAATTCAACATTTTAGTCTTTCAAAATATACTAGGCCTGGCCTATGAATATTTCTAATATATCCAGAGAGGAGAGAGCCCAGAACTGGTCTGGCCCAGCCCTTACTCCCCTGTAAACAGTTGTAGCCCCCAGCAGGGAAAACTGAGCAGACGTAGAGGGAGGACTGAGATGTGCTGGTTAGGGATAGGGACAGAGGGTTAGTATATGCTTGGAAGTCCAGCAGGGAAAACAAAAAAAACAACCAAAAAAACGTAGGTGATGAAAACAATGAAGACTCTAGGAGAAAACAAAGGCAGATCAAAGGGTTCCAATGGCTCTGTACAGCACCTGTATGCATGCTTCTGACCCCACAAAGCCCCTTGCACCATTTTCTCCATTGTCTGTATGTTTTTCCTAATCCTAAAAGTAGAGGTGGGGGAAGCAATGCACCCTCACAAGGCTGGCACCTGCACCTCTGCATGGATTCTGGTTTCCCTGCCTGCCTTACTAGAGATATGCTTACACATGCACAGGTTTGAAAAACAAGACCAAGCAGACAGAGGTGAAAGTCTGAGATTATTTAACTCAGAGAATAGAAGTTGGGGATAGAGAGGTTTAATGCCTATGAAATCTCCAATGGATTATTAAACAGAAGATCAATGGTGACCAGCTGCTCTCAACTCTGCCCCTCAACACACACACACACACACACACACTCACGAGAGGCACAGATTAGCTCTAAGAATTTCTGGGAAGTGAGACGGGTGACCCAGGAATGAGTGACACAAGAATATTACGAAATACCTCCTCTGCTTTTCTGGGGGCGTAACCTTTATCACCTAGTTTCTTTGCCAGGACAGGATTCAGGTAACAAAATTGATGGAATAATATTAAGCATTCCCTCTTCTAGCCTCAGGTAGCCCATATGTTAAGTGAGGAAGCTGGTTCTACAAGCAAACCTGTGACCTGCCAGGTTTGCTGCTATTTCCCAGTGGAGCAGGGTTATTTCCCCCTCTACACACACTTTCCAAGAGTGTAAATGTAACAGTTCTTGTGGAATTTTTTAACACCTCTACTATAGGAGTGAATCATTAGACTGCCAGCTTCTTCCAACCACCTTCCCTCCTTCTGAAACTTTCAGCTCCCAAAGAGCTGCAGACTAAGACAAGAGGCAAAAGAGACATGAAAGGGGAGTGGGATTTCTCAGATGGGTTAACTCAGTCCCCCTTCCTTCTAGAGGAATGGAGAGGTGAGAGGAGGAAGATGGTTAATGAGATGTGCATTAATCAGAGGCTGCTGGAGACCATGGAACATGGTGGAAAGAGCTGCTGCAAAGGAAGTAGCAGCCTATCCCTAAATAGCTGGGTGACCATAAGCAAGTCCCTATTGTTTTCTGGTGCTCAGGATTCCTATCTCTAAAGACAGAGGTCCAAACTGGTGCTTCCCAAGGTCCTATCGCACTAAGAGAAAGGGGTTCAGCAGAGGCCTGAGGGACATTTACCAGTCCCCACCACATTTTGGTATTTAGGTCCAATTCCTCCCCTGCTCCTCTTACTTCCAACAAGGCCAAGGGGAGTCTGACAGTGAAGCTTCCCTCTGGAGACAGCCTGCTCCCAGCTCTATTACCACATCGGAAGGTGGACTCTTACCAAACTGACTTGCAACATGCTTCTGATGCTATTCTAAGACCCCCCATTGTAAAATCCTTTCAAAAACCTCATTTTGTCATGACATATTTATACACAAAAAGCCCTAATCCCCCATTTCCTCATATTTTGATGCTCCCTTCCCTCAGATAGATCAGATCTTCATTACACAGCCTGGCATCTGGGAACCCCCACCACTGGGCCTTAACCTCTTCTCTACCTCTGAGCCCTATCATCTCAATCAGAATAGACTCACTCACCCCTTACCCTCCCATTCCTAATTTTGCTTACCCTTTGCCTACCAAACCCATCTAATTTCTGGCAGCTTCCCAGGATGGTCCTCTGCTTATACAGATCTCTCATCTCTCAATGCAGTTTGCCTCTAGGTTCATGAATCAGCAACCAAAAGTATGCATAGTCTGGGGTCTGAGCAGTCCAGATTCTGAGCTTATTGTTGCTGGGGGGGGGGGATATAGCATGATTTATTTGTTTCTTGTAGTTGCAATCCATCCCCCTTCTCCATTCTCATAGGCATATTCAATAAATAACTGAAGCCTGAGTACCATATTTCTCTAGTCACTTTCATATGGATCAATTTGAGTTGGAAAGGTAAAGGCCTTCTCGAAAGTTCTACAAAGACAGCAAATCCTTCTGGAGCAATCATCAACTGCTCTGCACTGCTAGGCTTTGAGAGGGTTGTGGCTGAGGTCTACGTTTTATTTATTCCTCAGAAGGGTTCTGAGTGAACCCAGACATCTGTGATATCAGAGAGACAAAACAGAGGCAGAGAAACTTAATTATATATAGTCTGCCTCCTATTATAATTTAAGCCCCAAAATGCCAAGAAGCAGGCAGCCCTGGAAGAGTTCCGAGAAAGAAGAGGTCACCATGGGTGGCAAAAATCAGGCAGGAAAGGCAGCAAAGAAAAGGTAGGCCCAGATTTGGGGCCTGAGAAGAAAGATTTGGACAGTTGTAGGCTGAGCAAGTTTGGGTGTCAGGAAGGGAGTTACACAGCAGATAAAGTAGCTGTTGGCCTAAGACAAGGCAAAGGGCAGGTCCAGCCATGCGCTGGAGATGCCTAGCTGCAAGTAGGGGCTTGTGTTGGAGCCTAGTCAAGGTGTGCAGTGGTGACTGTAGTGTAGTGTGATATCTGTGGTCCTGGCTGGTGTCAAAAAGGTACTCAGTCTTCCCCCAAATGAAGGATTTACTGGGTCTCACTGTCACTCCTCAGAAGAGCCAGGCTTTGCCTGGACCCTGAAACCTACAGGGTTCTCCACTCTCAGAGGTTGATCAAATGTCCAAGAAGATCCTGCCAAGCCCCTCAGTGCTCTCTCTCCTATTCTTCAGAAAGGTCTAGAAAGCCCATTGCCAGAGGTGCACCTTGGTGCAGCGATTATGCAGTGGGTGGGACCGAAGGAGGCTAGCTGTACTGGGGGAGGGAACTCCATTGGAACCCCTGTGGAGCGGGCAACACTACAGCACAGTGCCCTCCGCCCTGCCCATGGCTACGCTGCTGCGGCAGGCAGGCAGAGCCGCAGAGGGAGGTGTTTGTGTGCGGGACAAGACACGCCTTGACCCTGTGGCCCACATCAGAGGCCAGTTCTGCGGGGCCAGTTCAGTTACTGCTTGGGCATCTGGGCTGTGGCGCGTCTGCCAGGCACAGCCCCTCACCACCAGGGGAGCCCAGGCAAAGTCCTACGTTCGGGCGGTCACCAGTGTCAGAGGTGTCTGCAGCAGACAATGACAGCGGCCGAGCGGGCTGGGTATTTTAAGTAACTGCGAACTTGGAGGGTTTGGCTGACTGGCAAGCTCTCTCGCACACACAGAGACAGTGCATTTCCTACAATGACGGCCCCTTCGGCCTCTGACACGGAAATCCCCCCACAACACCGTGCCTATCGCTATTTTTAAACGGGAGGCTAGAGAGAAAAAAAGGCGGTCAGTGCCCTCCAAGGGAAAAGGAGGCAAAGCAAGGAGGGGAGACAAAGCGGCCTTGCAGCTTTAACCTAAAGACTAGCTTGCACTGTAGCTCTAACCCAAGGACCAGCAAGAAGCCAGGCTGCCAGCCCGTCTGCCTGGGGGTGGAGGGGCGCCAGATGCGCCTGGAGGCCCAGTAGGAAGGGACACAGCTGGTTGGGGCCGCAAGGCCAAGGTTCCGAAAGGAAGTAGGCAGCCCACAGGCCCAACTGGGCTCCTCTGAGGAGGGGGCAGACTGGGGCAGACTGTGGACATCCCAACCCACGCCAAAGCCAGTCTCCGTGGGGCCCAAACTAGCGCGCCGGCTTCAGTCCGCAGAGGAGAGGCTGGCTGGAGATGCGCAGCGGAAGGGCGGCAGCAGGGCCCCCGGGGTGAGCGGTACCCGCATAACACAGCTGTTCTAGCAAATGTGCTCCAACAAAGGTGCGGAGCTCCCGGCCTACAAACGTACGGCTTGTGGTGCTGGCTGGCGGCGCCCTTCCAGGGACCGCGCGGCAGCACGTGCGGGCCTATCTCCGCCTCCCCTGAGAGCCCGGAGGCATGGCCCAGGCTAGCCCGCCTGCCTGCCCGCCTTCCCCACCCCACCCCCACTCCCAGCCGTGGTCTGCCGTGCTCAGGGGACTCGCGGCCGCTGGGCCCCTCACCGGACAGCCCCCAAAGCGGGATTCACGGGAGAGCGGCGAGCGGCCGGGACTCCGACCAGCCCTTAGTGCCCTCCTCCAGGCGACCGGAGCAGAGCACGCGGGAATTCACCCGACCGCTGGCAGGCGGAGGCTCCTGGCTGTGCGCAACGCTTACCCGGCCCGATCAGGCTCCCAGCCCGGTTATTGTCTGCTGCGTCGCCCTGGGCCGGGCTGGAGCCTCGGCCACCTCGGCTGAGAGCGCCGCCACCCCTGCTCCTGCCGCCGCCGCTGCGGCTCCAGCCACCTCCTCCACAGACTTCTCTTCCCTAGGCTCTGGGCAACTCCCCCATGCCCCCTCCCCGCGTACTCCCTGGCCACCGGGTGGGGCGTCAACGCCCTGATTGGCAGACGTGTGGCCCAGTTGCTACGGTGGGAAGGCGTGTCCGGGTCCGCCCACTGTTTTCCTTGGTGTGTTTCTCTTTAAATGCAAATAAGCGCGGGCGTGGTGTTGGCAGGAGGCGGCCAGGGGACAGAACCCCTGGCTGGGGCTCCCCACTCCCGCCCGCATGCCTAGCAAGTCGCGGCGGGGCTTCAACCCGGGCTGCAGCGGCCGGTCCTACCCGGATGGCTCTCACCGGATCCCTGGAACTCGGTTTCGCTTTTATGCACTCCCATTTCCGTGGCCGCCGTACATTCGCGCTGCTGCGCCTTGGCATCCACCCGGCAGTTTGTCCTAGAGCTGGAGGCCAGTGGGGAGAAGCGGGGCAGAGAGATTGGGGAACCTCAGGGTACTGCAGAACCCCTTAGCACTTCTGCTGGCCCATCTTTAGGCGTAGAGGCAAGGCCCCGCGACTCGCGCCCTCGGGCCACCCAGAGGAGAAACTCACCTGCCAGGAAAACCAGCTGCAACGCCCGCCTCCCCGCTCTGTCTGCCTCTCAGGCACACCAGGGCCCTTAGGGACCATGGAGGCCAACTTCCGCCTGTTACCTATGAGCCGGCTGCTGCCAACAGTAGGGAAGGCGCCTCCAAAGGTTACCTAGCCTGCCAGCAACAGATTTGGAATCCAGATCCCCAGACTCTGCATCCAGAGCTGCTTTCACTTTTCTTCTCTGGGAAGATACTGTACCTGTTTTCATAGTTCGACCCTTATCCAAATTTCTCACTTTCCACTGAATGTGGAGGAAATTCTAAGGTCTCTGGAGCACCCCTTCCCCCACCGCTTGGTGAGCTTGGTTTTGTGCAGGTTCCTGTCCCTGAAAAGTCTAGATAGTAAGAGAAAAATCTTTTCTGGGTGCAGGCTGAGGACAGAGTGGGGAGGCCTGTACCAGCCTTGACTACTACTGTGTGTGGGATGTGGCAGGGGGCCAGCCGAACTTGGGTCTCTACCCTGACGACATTAAGTTGCATTAGTGACTGCCAGGGCCAGATGAGCTGAGGCAAAGAATCCAGTTCTACCACTAGTTCAAGAATATCCAAGCCGGGCTCGGTGGCTCAGCCTGTAATCCCACGCCTTTGGGAGGCTGAGGTGAGTGAATTGCCTAAGCCCGCGGGTTCGAGACCCTCCTGGGCAGCGAGACCTCATCTCTACAATAAATCAAAAAATCAGCCAGGCATGGTAGCACATGCCTGTAATTCCGGCTACTTGGAAGGCTGAGGCGGAAGGATCGCCGGAGCCCAGCAGGTCGAGGCTGTGGTGGCCGGAAGCGGCCACTGCACTCCAGTCTGGGCGACAGAGTGAGACTCCAACTCAAAAAAATATATATATATATACCCAGAAAGCCCAGCCCTTAAACTCCATGAATGTCTAAAATGGGGGTGGGTGGATTAAGGTTGAGGATGGGGGAAGGATTGGAGAATTATGTGCCATTTTTGTGTTGCAGGCGTGATCTCTGCCGCTCTTGTCTATTTTGAAAAGATCCAGCTGCTGAACTGGTAAGAGGTAGACTGCTACCTCTGCATGTGTGGAGCACAGGAACAGACATGGCTGCTAGGGATTTAGCTCCAGTTCTCCTTCAAACTTGCTGTGATACCTTGGCCAAACCATTTTCGTCTCTAGGACAGTTCATCAGTCCATCTCCACAAGGAAGGGGTAAGATTCGTTAGACTCCCTTGATCTCTTCGAGATGTGACTGCTCAACACAATTCATTCTGTAATAGTCAATGATGTTTCATGACCTTCCATGACATTCTATATATTGCCAGCAAAAATAAGCAATGAACATCAGATCTCCATCCTAGTCCCAAGTCTAAATAAACGACGAAGCGTAAGGAGCTGCTGCTGGCTCATTATGCAACTTTGTTGGGTCCCTTCTCCTTAGCCTCAGTTTCCCCATCTGGGTGACTGGACAATAATATTTCCCTGGAGCTGTGCTTTCCTGTTTTGTAAAGTCCTGATTCTCATTTGTGGGCCTGATCTGGAAGTGTCTTTTCCAGAGGCTCTGTTATAGGCTTCCCCACCACCTCATGCCTCTGGTCACTTGCCACTTGCTCATATTTCACTTAGAACCTTGATTCTTTGAATTAGGCCAAGTTTACAATGAGAAAGCAGTTTTCAAACCTAGAGCTCAGGGAAACAAAGGGCCAGGGAAGTCTCAGGTGGAAACAGGGAGACAGGTGGTATGCAAAGTAGTCAGGCAGTGGTCTTGAAATAACCCCAGGCACTAATGTGCTGCTCCTGTCACAGAGGCTAGTCCTCCATGTCTTCTAGTCATGCCAGTCAGCTTTGGGAGAGACAGATACTGGGCTGAGCCCCAAATAAATAGAGCTCCAGGAAAATTAAAATGGTCTTAGAAATGCTAAAGAGACCTCTCAGCTGGACACCCTTCTTTGTGGTCCTGATATTCCTGAGTCTTGGGAGGAGATTGTGTGTGTGTGCATTAGGAGGAAAGGAATGTGGGAGGGGGCAGCATCAACTCCTTGTTTGCATGGCCCACTCCTGTCTAGGAATGATGTGTGGAAAGTGTGTGCATAAACTTGTATTTCAAAATGCCTGCTCGAAGAGGGAGTCCTCCAAGACGTGTGATCAACTTGTTTGGTCAGGACAGGTGCTGGTAGTGAGGAGCAGGAATTCTGTCTGAAGTTTCTTTTTTTCTAAGTTCCCGAGAGCTGGAAAATCGTAAGTTTGCTTTACCTGTTAATGGAGATAATCTCCCAGCTGCTTGGCATCTTGTGCCTGCAGTGAAAAACCCATGAGAAGAGATATGCAGGCTGTGTGGAGGCAACTTCATAAATTCAAGTAGACAGACTAAGTCACATGATTACAATGCCTATTTCTTTCTTCATCAGATTTTCCATGGGCACCTCCTCTATGACAGGTCTGGTGATAGGTATTGGGAGGAGGGGGTACAGTGGTAACCTTTTGAGGAGACCTGGATATGGGGTTCTGGTAGGAGTTGAAAGCTAGAGTAGAGGTCTGGCAAAAGTGTTCTAGAGAATTGCAGGTGAAGAGGTTCTTTCTCCCCAGGGTTGCCAGGGGCATAAGATAAAAGTTCCATGGAGGATGGTCTTGATGTTTGAATCAAGTCAGAAAAGTAGGGGAAGGATTCCTGCCAAAGCCAAAGCCCATCAGTGTGAAGGTTTGGTGGGTTGGGCAAGTGCTAGGATTCTGAATGGCTTTGGCTAAGTATTTGTGTAAAAGGGAGAGGAAGAGCTGGGAATTGGACTAGAAAGACTGACCTGGAGCCAAAATCTAAAAGACCATGACTTCCCAGGTAAATTGAGACTCAACTAGCTAAGCTCATCCTTCCCAGGGAAGCAGTACAGTATAGTGGCTCTGCCACCAAATGACCTGGACTGGGATGCCAGCCCCACTACTTAGGGCAGTATGATCTGGGCAGGTTAATTCACTTCACTGAGTCTCAATTTTTTTCTTCTGCAAAATGAAGATAATAATGTAACATAGAGCCTGGTATATACAAAGCTCTTAATAAAGGTTAGCTACTGCTGCTGTTATTATTGTTGGTCTCCTTCTGATCCAACGTACAGATCTTCAAAGTTTTGAAACTCATAATAGGATTTTGAAATCATTTTTTATTATAAACACACATGAGCCGTGATTCCTTATGCACAGACTCCTTTTGATTATGCAAACCCAGACTGAGTTTCCTGAGGACAGAGTTTCTTGTTCATCTTTATATCCTCAACACCCAACAGAGAGTTTGGCACAAACTTAGTGTTAAGCATGTATTTTCTGAACATAGTAAAATGAGGAAGTTTCAGGTCTAATACCAAACTTAGGTGCCAGCATCCACCAGTGAAGTGTGGTGTTACCACTCACTGAGCAACTCCTTTGTGCCAAGCCTTATGTTAAGTGCCACGCTTGTCACTCAGAATGGTGAAATAAACACAACTTCTGACCTCCGGGGCAACTAGTCTAGAGGAGGAGGAATACACTCATGAGTTCCTTACTTGAGCAAGGGACTGCTGGACTGCTGGATTGAAGAATATAGGCACAGTATGAGAAAAATGTACAGTTCTGCTTAGGACATTTTGAGTTTGACATGTCAGTAATCCCACCTCAGGGCTTTTGCATTTGTTGTTCCCTTTGCCTACAATGTTTGTCTTCTCAATATCAGCATGGTTGCCACCTTGTTTCCTTCAGGTGTCTGCTCAAATGTCACTAATAGTGAGACCTTCCCTGGACACTTGATATATAAAATAGCAATTCCCATTCCCACCCCCTTCACTCTCCAATCTCTTAATTGACCTCCCCCCCCTTATCCATAGCATTTACCACCTCCTGGCCTACTATTTCTTATTGTCATTTATTTATTTTTAGTGGGTTTTTTTTCATTTTCTGCTTCCCATCATAACAATGGAAGCTCCATGAGGGCTGACAATGAGCAAAATACGGTATCTCAGATACAATAAATGTAATGGAGAAAAATAGAGCAGAGAAGGGGTATACGAGGTACTAGGGGGTGCTGATTTAAACAGGAAAGTTGAGATGAAAAGGTGATATTCAAACAAAGACCTGAAGGAACTGAGGGAGCAAACCATGAGGATATGTGGAAGAAGAGCATTCCAGGCAGAGAGACCAGCAAGCACAAAGGCCCTGAAGTGGTGACTTTCTGGGATGTTAGACTAGGAACAGCAAAGCAGCCAGTGCACCTGAAACAGTGTGAGTGAGGGGGGAAGTGGTTAGAGAAGGTACAAGAGTGCAGACAATGTATGACCTTGTGAGTCATTTTAAAGACTAGACTTTGCAGGATTTTGAACTGAGGAGTTACATGATCTTAGTGAAACACCTAGGAAGCTGTAGCAGAGAGAGAAGAAAGAAGCAGGGAGTCTAGGAAGGAGGTTCCAATATAGTGATCTAGGTGAGAGGGGATGGTAGCTCAGATCAGGATG